GACTAAGTGTGAGAGGATAAAACATTTATTAGCTTGATGTGTTTGTGTTTGGCAATTCTTCTTGTTGTGAAAATGGTGATCTTGTTGTGTGTATATATTTGTGGATGTTCCTGTTATGTTCATTGTTCCTGCACCCAAAGAAAAATCATGAGTTTTGTGAGGGAATGGTTGGTTCATGCTCTTGGTTCCTTGCTGTGCCTTTGCTTTTGCCTTGAGGCCCTGCTTGAGCCACCCTGGGTAACATCTGGCTGCCATAGAAAAAACATTTCGAAAAACATGCATGCATTCATCAGATTATTTGTAGAAATATAGTTATTTGAAATATGTGATAATGCACGAGATCAAATAATTAATATGAACTAGTGACTGTGACACATTTTGAGACGTCGCAACCTCCTTGCTTCGGAATTTTGAGGGTCCTCCTCAAAATTCTACCTCAGTTTAAATGCATACTTCTGGCAACACATTCCTTGGCGGTTCAAAACGTGATGAGATCGGGCAAACTCAAGACCTTGCCCCAATTTCTAACCATAGGGAAAATGAAGATTTTATTATTATGTGACTGAACCCACCGGGCTGCCTACGTATCCCCCCCCCTAAACGGGAATCAGGTAAAGCGTAGTTCAATTACATCAAATATAAGGTGGAAACATAATATTAAACGTAGTATATCTTGACTACGTCTGAATTGATAGGTTTTGGCCAAATCTCTCCGTCCATTTCTGCAAGTATAAGTGCTCCTCCTGTCAATACCCGATGAACCATGTAAGGGCCCTGCCAGTTGGGTGAGAATTTCCCCTTTGCTTCATCTTGATTTGGGAAGATTCTCTTTAACACCAACTACTTCGGCGTGAATCGCCTCGACCTGACCTTTTTGTTGAAAGCTCTTGCCATTCTGTTATGGTAGAGTTGACCATGACATACCGTGTTCATTCTTTTCCTATCAATGAGAGATAGTTATTCATACCGGCTTGGTACCCATTCTGCATCGCTGAGATCAGTTTCCTGTATGATTCTTAAAGAAGGAATCTCTTATTCGGCGAGAATAACAGCTTCAGTACCATAAACTAGTAGGTAGGGAGTTGCCCCAGTTGATGTACGAGTTGTGGTATGATACCCGAGTAAAGCAAACGGTAGCTTCTCATGCCATTGTTTTTAATTATCTACCATTTTCCTCAATATCTTACTGATGTTCTTGTTGGCGGCTTCTACATCTCCATTTATTTGCGGTATGTATGCTGTAGAGTTTCAGTGTTTGATCTTGAATATCTCACACATGGCTTTCATCAAATCGCTATTGAGATTGGCGGCATTGTCAGTAATGATTGACTCTAGTATCTCAAATCAACAAACAATGTTGTCCCAAACAAAATCTGCTACAACCTTCTTATTTACCGCTTTGTAATATGTGACATCAACCCATTTTGTGAAGTAGTCTATGGACACTAGAATTAAGCTATGTCTATTTGAAGCATCGGGTTTGACTGGTCCGATGACATCCATACCCCAAGCGAAGAAAGGCGAGGGTGAACGTGTTACAATACGTTCGTTGGGTGGTACTCATTTCATGTCAGCATGTATCTGGCATTGGTGACACTTTTGAACGTACTTGATACAATCTGTTTCCATAGTCATCCAGAAATACCCTGCTCTTAGTATCTTCTTGGCAAAAATGAAACCATTCATGTAGGGTCCACAGGTTCCAGCATGTATTTCCTCGAGCAATCTGGATGCCTCTTTGGTATCGACACACCGCATTAATCCTAGGTCAGGAGTCCTTCTATACAGAATTCCTCCACTTTGAAAGTAATGGTTGGCTAATCTGCGAAGCGTGTGCTTCTGAGTATGGGTAACAGTCTTTGGGTAATCTCCCTTTTCCAGGTACTTTTTGATGTCGTGGAACCACGAATTTCCATCAATCTCTTCTTCAACATGAGCAAAATAAGTTGGCTGCTTATGAATTCCTATTGGGATAGGATCAATGAAATTCTTGTCTGGGTGTTGTATCATGGAAGACAAAGTGGCTAATGCATCTGCAAACTCATTCTGAATCCTTGGAACATGTTTGAACTCCATTTTTGCGAACCTCTTGATCAGCTCTTGTACACAGTGCAAATATGGCAATATTCTGGTGTTCTTGGTAGCCCATTCCCCTAGAAAATGGTGCACCAAAAGATCTGAGTCTCCGATTACCAGAAACTCTTGAACGTTCATGTCAATAGCTATTCTGAGTCCCAAGATACAGGCCTCATATTCCGCCATATTGTTGGTGTATGAAAACCTGAGTTTTGCGGATATAGGATAGTATTGACCGGTTTCTAATACTAAGACAACTCCGATGCCTACTCCTTTGAAGTTTGCTGCTCCGTCGAAGAACATCCTCCAACCATCATATGCCTCAGTAATATCTTCTCCTACATATGACATCCCCTCATCAGGAAAATACGTTTTCAATGGTTCGTATTCTCTACCTACGGGATTTTCTGCCTAGTGATCCGCCAATGCTTGACCTTTGACTGCCTTCTGAGTTACATAGATGATGTCAAACTCACTCAGCTATATTTGCCACTTTGCTAACTTACCCGTAGGCATGAGTTTCTGAAATATGTATTTTAGCGGATGCATCCTTGATATGAGATATGTAGTGTATGCACATAAATAATGCCTCAACTTCTGAGCTATCCATGTCAAAGCACAGCAGGTGCATTCCAGCAAAGAGTACCGGGATTCATAAGGCGTGAATTTCTTAATCAGATAATATATTGACTGTTCCTTCCTTCCAGTTTCATCATGTTGTCCTAGAAGTCAACCGAAAGACCCATCTAACACGGATAAATATAGCAACAAAGGTCTTCCGGGTTCTGGTGGGACCAGAAAGGGCGGTTTAAACAAATACTTCTTGATTTTGTCGAAAGCCTTCTGGCATTGTTCAGTCCCCATGGTGTGATGAAGGCTGTCTTTTCAGCATCTTCTTCATCCATCCAGATCTGATGGTATCCTGCGAAGCAATCCACAAAGGACTGGAGCTCATGCTTGGCACAGTTGCCAATCAGTATGTGTATGTTGGGCAACGAGAAGTCATCTTTGGGACTTGCCCTATTCAGGTCTCAACAATCGACCCATACTATAACCTTCCTATCTTTCTTCGAAACCGGCACAATGTTGGTAAACCAAGTCGGGTATTCGACCACTCGAAGAACCTTGCCTTTTATTTGCTTGGTGACCTCCTCTTTTATCTTCAAACTCATATTCGGCTTGAACTTTATGAGCTTCTGCTTTACTAGTGGACACATAGGATTGGTAGGTAGTTTGTGAGCTACTATGGATGTGCTTAAACCAGTCATATCATCGTAGGACCATGCAAAGATGTCTTCATAATTCTTTAGGAGTCCAATATACTCTTATTTCTCTGATGGTGATAGATGAATGCTTATACGTGTTTCCTTGACCGTTTAGGAATCACCTAAGTTCACGGCCTCAGTTTCTTCCAAATTAGACTTTGGTTTGTTTTCAAAGTTTTCTACTTCTCTGACGATTTCCTCAGGTATTATATCATCTTCCGGATCCTCTGAATCACTGTCCTTATGTTGCGCTGTCTCATTACATGTCATTGTTGTAGGTTTATCAGGATATGTAATAATTATGTTGAAAAGAAATGTAAAAAGATAATAATAAATATAAAAAGCAATAATGCATTAATAAAACTTTTAAAACGTCAACAAGTCTGGCTCGATGGTTCGAGTAATTATTTCAAAATAAAATACTGAAAAATGTCTCAAATGGTCAAAACTATTTTAAAATAATTCATGCTAATTTGCCAGGCTACCTAGGAACTTGACGGGCCCGGGATGGTGCAGCCGTCCAGTTCTTGAGAACACTCCTTCCTTCATGGTTTGAATGGTAAGGTCTTCCTCCTCCTCCTCCTCCTCAACAATTGCACTGCAGTCCATGTCTTCTTCATCTAGAAACAACTTCCTCATGCCAGACAAAACCTCATCTTCGTCAGATCCCTACATCATGTCAGCATGATGGAATGTCTGTTGCAGAGGTGGTACCGGTTGTTCCAATTGATAATAAGGAGCACGCCATGGTGGTGACCAATCCTGGCATTCTTGCCAAGTGTATTCGTATCCGAGTCCAAAAGTCATACCATGGTACTGTAGTTGTACGAGTTTGGTGATCCCTTGACGATTTTTTCCGAGACCCTTACCGGGTTCATACCCCGTCCATAGAAGTATGCTCTCTATCTTGTTGCTCCACCATCGGTCCCTTTTAATTGCGTTAACTCGTTTAATGTGATGATATGTTTCTCCACCCAGCTTCTTTCTGTTTTCGATGACCAAAACGGTCTGATTGGTGTAGATGGGGTTACTTTGATCTCCATGGATGATCACCTCCTGATGATTCCACTCAAACTTCATAGCCTGATGTAGAGTTGAAGCCACTGCGCCGGCTGCATATATCCATGGTCATCCCAACAGTAGGTTCTAAGTAGCAGATATATCTAGCACTTGGAACACGACATCAAACCAAGTCGTGCCCATCTGTAGACCGAGGATGATTTCTCCAATTGTGGCTCTTTGAGATCTATCAGATGCCTTCACATTCATGCTTCCTATTTGTATCTCGTGCAGGACTTTACCTAATCTTGTTAGAGTGGTCAATGGACATATATTGAGACTTGAACCTCCATCTATCAAGACCCTGGCGATGAACTTATCTTCAAATTGCACCGTGATGTGCAACGCCCTATTGTGACTTAGTCTTTCTGGTGGTAATTCATCTTCGTGAAAAGTGATTTTGTGGCTCTCCAATACCTGTCTAACCATGTTAGCCATCTCTCCACTAGTGATGTCGGTGGGCACATAAGCTTCACTTAACACCTTCATCAAAGAGTTCCTGTGTGCATCTGAGTTTTGCAGTAGTGATAAGATGGATATCTGAGCAGGAGTTTTGTTCAAGTGGTCAACAACAGAGTACTACCTTACTTGTATCTTTCTCTAAAGATCGTCAGCACCAGTCTCGATAACAAGCAACTTAGATGTAGCTTCCTTGCTTGTTCGTCCAAGATTCTCAGTTGTGTAAACTCTGCCAGTTCTAGTCATACCTTGCGTGGTACATGTTTCCTCCATTTTTTCTTTTTTATTTCTTCTTGCCTCCGCAACATAGTCCCATGGGACGACATCCGATTTGTAAGATGGCATGGGAGATACTATCATAATGAAGGGTGTAGATACCTCAACTTCACATGGTGCCTGGGATTGTACCACAACTGGCGTGAGGGTGACTGGAGATGTTTTAGGAATGTCTCCCTCTCGGATGAGTCCGATGGACCCTTCCTGATCCCATTCTTCATCAGTTTCTATCACATTCACTCCCTCACCTCTGTGATCCAAGAGAGGGTTGTTACGAACATTTGGCGTAACTTCCTTTGCTTTTATGACCTTAGTGTCGATCAACGTTTGTATCTTATCTTTCAATGTGTGACACTTCTCAATGGTATGACCATTCATGCCTGAATGATAAGCACATGTTTTGTTGGGGTTGATCCATTGGGAAGGGTTTTCCACAACAACAACAGGGATAATAGTAACATAACTAGCGGCCTTCAGTCTCTCATACAATTGGTCTGTGGGTTCAGCAATTGGGGTGCATTGTCCAGGAGGTCTACGGTCGAAATTCAGATGCGGCTTCGGGTAATTTTGGTGGGCGGGTGGAGGTGAATGGCAATATACAAGTTTGGTACTATAGGTATGGTAGGTGGCAGTAGGGTGTTGGTATCTTGGGGTGAGGGTTGATATGTGGGTGGAGGTGTTTGGTATGTGAGGGTAGACTTAGGGCCTTGGGCTACCATCATAGCACCCACTTGTTTCTTCTTCGAAATGCCTCCTGATTGCAAAGCTTTATTTTTGGCCTGCAGTGCCTCGAAATTGGTCACCATCCCATTCTTAATTCCTTCTTCTATTCTTTCTCCTAACTTGATATTATCAGAGAACTTTTGATTTTCAATAACCATCAACCTTTCGTAATACTACGAGTCTTGAGCTCTGACAAAGAACTTGTTCATTTGTTCCTCTTCAAGTGATGGCCTTACCTTTGCGGCTTCTGATCTCCAACGAGTAGCATACTCGCGGAAGGTTTTTGTCGGCTTATTCTTGAGGTTTTGAATGTAGAAAATGCCTGGCGCATTTTTCGTGTTGAACCCGAATCTATCTATGAAGTCTGACGCCACACTCACCCAACTAACCCACTTCTTGGGGTTTCTAATATACCAAGACAAGGCGTCTCCTGTAAGGCTTCGCATGAACAGTTTTATGCGGATTTGTTCATTCTTGCCCACTCCTACAAGCTTGTTACAATACATTCTTAGATGCACTTTCGGGTCACCAGTTTCATCGAACATTTTGCATTTGGGAGGTTTGTAACCTTCCGACAGTTCCACATCCGGCTGAATACATAGGTCCTCATAGTTTAAACCTTCAACACCTTTACCACCTTCAACACTCTGAACTCTACCAGTGAGCTTCTTGAGTTCCTCTGCCATATGTTTAATGAGCAGACCCCTCTCAGTCGATTCGGGTATGTATAGGGTTTGCTACGAGGTGTGGGGTAAGGTTTACACATATATCAGATTGCTTTGATAGATTCCTGGAACTTGGGTATAGGGGTGGTCATTGGTCGAGTTTTGGGGATCGGGAGTAGGTTGTGGTGAATTCTAGGGAGTGTGATAAGTAGTGGTTTGCTAGTATTGAGTTGGATGATGGTGGTGTTGTTGAGGGGTCGGTACTGGTGGCGGGTTAAGGTTCTGGAGAGGTGCAAGATACTGGTGTGGTGTGGGAGGATTTGGTGGTAGGTTTTGGTTTTGTGTGTTTTGTGGTGGTGTTTAGTTCTGGGTAGTCGGGTTTTGTTGGTTAATGTCGGGACATTGAGAGTGAGGGAGAGGTTTGCCAAATTTCGGACCTGCTCAAGCTCACCCTATAGTTCCAGGATTTTGTGCTCCAAACGTAAGACTAATTCATTCTGTGCCGGAGTACTTCGGCCATCTGAAGTTTAAACGTTTTCCTCCATAGTAGCGTTGTCTTATCTGATACCACTCAAATCATCCATTTTCCCTTTTCCTTTGCCTTTGCCTTTGGGATCTCTTGGTGGAGGAGGAGCTGGAGGACCTCTGTATCTAGTATGGTATGTTGATGATGCCAGTATGCACGAACCAACCTTTGGAAATAGGAATAATCAAAAAGAAAAGAAACATCAAAAGGTAATCAAGTTAGTAAGGTGAAAAAAAGAGTGTTTGCAATATTTAAACATGTTTCACAAAGTCATGCAATAATTCGCATCCTAATTTGGGGACCTCATTATGCTTGAGGTAGGCCTATGCGACACACAGACTTAGAGAATATTGATGCCAACATTTGCGTCATTTCATTAATGCGAAAAATGAGTCAAACCTTTACTAAATCCATAGTAATAATAAAGCTACTAATGACATTTAGCCTTATTACAATCGAAACCTAAAGTTAAGCTAGAAAGCAGTAAAGAACATCATTTCCTAGTCTACTTGGTCCTTGAAGGACCTTCTCCATGCTTGGCTCTTTTGAACCCATCAATCAGGTTCCCCAGATCGCGCATATCCAACAATAAGTAAGCTTTTTATAGATGTCCTCCTTCACCGCCATCCATGCCTTGGCAATCTGAGAGTCTCTTTCTCATCCTTCCTTCGAGCTCCATCAATCCTTGTTCCAAGTATTCCAATCTTTCTGTTGACTTAGTGGCAATCTCCTTCGATTCCATTATCACCTCCATGTTCACTTTGTGATGTTCCAGATGTTTAGCTTCAGACTCGAACACCCTTTTACGTAGCATCTCATATTTAACATGTGCCTCAGCCACCTCATCTATGAACCTATCCTTTAGATTGACTCCTGGCTTGACGTACCCTGCTATGTCGTCCTCCAACCATGATAGATAGTAGTACATATGACCGACGTGATACCTGTCCGGCTCAATGGTTTCTCTCTCCACAATGATCTTTTGGTTCCACATATGTTGTGCCTCGAACTTAAATAGAATGACATCTCCTTTGATATCTACCTTGTAGTAGACCATGTTAGAAACATGAGGTATGACCTGTTTTCTCCCAGCTTGCCTCATTACCCTTATGGGAGTATAAGGATAGATGCCTCGCAACCCGATCAGTACCAGATAAGTAGTCCCCCTTGACCTGATAATGAATTCACTGCTAGGAAATCATTCAAACATCCAATGTACTTGCTCGTCTGTCAGATTGCTGAAGAAACACACCGAACTTACAATATTTCCGGGTTGTGCAAACCTGTCTAGGATAAACGTTATTTTCTTTGGGTGATGGTTGGCTATGTAGTCATTCACCGGCCTTCGTAGAAGCTCATGATGATACTCTCCCCTCTGAAAGTGTTCCACCAGCCAGACTTGTAGAAACATATTACAACCCTCAAAGTGTCCAAATCCCTGCTTGCACCGATCTAGAGCGCGGTACATCTCAGCTAAGATCATAGGGATGATGGTATAAGTTTGTCCCTTGATGCCCTCCATCAAGGCCCTGGCGACCATGGCTAAGCGAGTATGAATCTTTCCTCCCTTCATGAGAAATATCAATAACCCCAAGAAGGAGACGACGAACACATAAACCCTGCGACGCGTCCAACCCAAGGAAGTAATGGCGAGTTCATCATGATGAAGAAGATACGACTTGCTATGCCCATACCGCTCGTAATGGAATTCAAAATGGACGTATGATTTCTTTTGACAGAGCAACTCGTCATTCTTCTTAAAACCCATCATTTCCAGAAACCTCGGGGAGTGCAATTCTCTGGTACCAGTAATCCCGGACTATCCCATGGCAACTTGGCGAAGCCTCCTATTTCTTCTAGGAGAGGAGTCATTTATATATTGCCAAATCGGAAAACAACTCTTTTCTCATCCCAGAACATGGAAGAGGCCTCAATCAATTCCTTGTTTGGTTGAATATTTAGCAAGGATGGCAGGTCACCAAGTACTCTTCTCATATGATTTTTTTCGCAAGGCTTAAGGTCTTTCCAACAGTCAAGTAGAATGGGTGGGATAATTTGGACCATATCGAACCTGGGGATTTCATGTTGTATGTTTTGCAAACAAACAAAAGTTAGCCCTTCCCCCTCCAGACTTGACAACTTATGCAATAATGATCAACACGTTGGCACATTTTCTCCAAGTAATGCACATAATATGATAGTGTCCATTGGGATTATGGAAATCCCGTCGGACTTTGGACAAGGTTCATCTTAGTGGGTTGTTACGTTAATAACGCTCCAACCCATACTAGGTTTAGCATGATGAATGTACGTTTCAAAGTTGAGTAGGGTTTCTAGAATAATCTAGACTGGTACTCCCAAGTGCACAACTTGAGAGGGAAAGGCACGGGACCGTCGATTACACCGCTGATCGACTAGTCTACCGCAAATAAGCCTTTCCGATTTAAAAGGGCTAATTTTCAAGAGAGCGCGGACACTCATCAAGCACCACTATGTTAAAAATTGGCACGAGTGGAGTATGATGCTGAACATGCTTTATGCAAAAATAATAACACATTGCCAAGTATTTGCATGTAAGAAGCACTAATAGTAAAAGTTAACATGAAAAGAAAAGCAAAGGAAGACAAAAGAAAGAAGTCAGTTTGGCTCATGAAAATGTGCGAGAACATAATAAAGCATATAAGAAAATATAGCGGTCATGATGAAAAGAAATAGAGAGCGTTCATACAAACAAAGGAGACTAAGGGGAAGGATGTCATAGCAAATTTAAACAAATAAAGGTGAATACGGGAAGGGATGTGCATGTCATAGCAAATTTTAACAAATAGAGGTGAATAGGGGAAGGGATGTGCATGTCATAGCAATTTTAAACAAATAAAGGTGAATAAAGGAAGGTATGTGCATGTCATAGCAAGTTCAAACAAATAAAGGTGAATAAGTGATGTGCATGTAACAAAGAAAGTAATCCACATAAGTTAAGTTCTTTATGGTAAAAGCCTAAGTGTAAATCCCCAGCAGAGTCGCCATACTGTCGCGCCCCGTTTTCTTGCGAAAGCGGGTTTCGACATGTGACAACTCTTTTTAAATGGGTATTAAAAGAGAAGAGTCGCCACCTAACAATTTTAATGTGCGTTAGGGAACCTATTTGAGGATAACTCTATTTGACTAGTCCGTGTCACCAAAGATCGGGTAAGGGCTCAAATTACCTCAAAACGAAGGTGTTAGACACTCTTCGAGGTCCACAACTGTGGGTCCTGGCCGAATTTTAAACTATGTGGATTATGTAATTAGACTAGGTGCTCAAATAAATAAAGGGAAATTTAGAAGTCAAAGAGTCTTATTAAAACATATGAGAATCGGTACAAATCTTAGTTTAACCATAAGGATACAACTACATTTGGTCTATATTAAATGACTAAAGCGTGGATATCAAGTATATAAAGGGG